CCTCTCCTGCCGGGGCCCCTCCGACCGCGGCGCTCAGCGCCCAGCACCCGCCCTGCCTCAGTTGGGATTAGTCTCCCGGCTGCTGCTCTGCTCTCAGCCCAGCTCCTGCTCTTTGTCCACTGTGGAAGAAGAGGTTGAGGAGCTGAGGGTCCATCCCAAATGCTTGTAGGCTGCAATGAGCTCCTGCAGCCACTCAGGTGTAGGCTCCCACATGGAAATTCCAGTGCTGTTCTGCATGGGAAGGCACCAGGCACTGAGCTTCTCCCTGTGGTCCAGGCAGAGCATGCTGTGGATCAGGGAACACCTGTACCCCAAGGGACAACACTCCAAGGAACCCAAACCCTCCTTGGCACAGGCACAGGGGTTGGCCTGGCAGGGTCAGGAGTGGGGGAACCCAAAGACCTCCAGGCACAGGCACTGGCAGAGGCTGTAGACAATGCAGAGGAGGAGGGTGGAGGGCACAAGGCTGACCAGGATGATGCCCAGGCTGTGGTGCTCAATGAGCAGGAGGTAGATGCCGAAGGGCAGGGAGCTGAAGTAAAGGAGGCAGAGGACGCCCAGGATGAAGCGGGGGACGGCTCGCCACCCCCAGGCGCGGCACTTCTGCCCAGGGCCGTGGCAGGGCAGCACTCCCAGGCTGGTGGGGTGGTACAGCCGCACCACCTCCAGCCTGCCCAGGCTCTCCGGTGGGGCCACATCCTCTGGCACCTCCAGGATGGTGACAACCAGGCAGTCAGGGCTGGATGTGGGCTCCAGCACGCCAGGGCAAAGGAGGACCTCTGGGGATCGTGGGGGACCCCTCTTCTTGGCCCGTTCATGGCCTGTCAGCAGTGCCAGTGCCTCGCCATCATCCTGCAGCTGCTGCACGTCCCCGCCGGGCACTGGGCTGTGCTGGCGGCAGAAGGGGCAGCGGAGTTGGGGGGTTGATGCATCACCCGGAGACACCATCCTGCGCAGGCAGCGGGTGCAGAGGCGATGGCCACAGTGGAGCAGTTTGGGCCTGCGGGCACGGGCGTCGAAGTGGCTGTAGCAGATCTGGCACTCCAGCTCAGGGGATGTGGGTGCCGCCGGCGGGGACCCCAGCTCACTGCCCGGCTGGGCCATGGCTCCCGGAGGGGTGCTGGGGGCTGCCTGGGCTGAGGGAAGATGCTGTCAGCCAGGGCTGGGGGCAGGTCCTGGGCCTGATGGCTCCCATGGGTGGGGTCCTGGCCCTGCTGCACCCCATGGTCAGTGTCCGGGTGAGCCCCAGGGGCTCAGTGGGGGAGCAGGGTCGGGGGAGCAGGCTCGGGGGAGCGGGGCCCTACCCGGGCCGAACTCCAACCCCCGTCGGTGCCACCGGCGCTGGCACTCGCCCTCATCCCAGCCCCCGTTTCTAGAGGGCACACCGTTACCAGGGGAGGGCACCGGTGTGGGGGGGGGGGGTAGCTCACGAGCGCTTCCTTGGCTCTCACGGCGTGTACCGGTTCCCTGGGGCCCCCGGGGTGGGGACTGCTCTGGACACCGGCTCTGTCTGCAGTGAGGAACCCCCCATCCCTTACCCCCGTCCCTTTCCCGGGGCGAGCAGCTCCCGGTCCGCATCCCCACCCCCGCTCCCGGCCCGCACCGCATCCCCTCCCGTACCTGCGCTCCGCGCCGCAGCTCCCGGTGGGGACACAGCGGCGGGTCGGTCCCCAGCCCCGGTCTCGGCGGGCTCGGTGGTGCCGGTGGGCTCCGCGGCGGCGGGCTCGGGCCCGGCAGCCCCATGGGGGGAGGCGCGGGGCGCTGCCCGCCGCGCTGCGGGGGCGAGCGCGGCGCAGGGGCCGCCGGCAGCGCCGCGGCGTTGGCCCGGTAACGGGGAGCGGCGAACGCGGGGGATCGGATGGGCCGGGCTGGGGCCCCTCGGAGCCCCCTCGGGCAGAACCGGGCCCCGCCGGGCTGCGGGAGGACGATGCAGGGGTCTATGCAGCGGTCGGTGTGTTTGGTGTGGGACAGGCGCAGCTCCCTACACGCCGCGGTCCTCCCTTTCTGGTCAGCCTTGAGGATGCTCCTTCGCAGCCTGGGGCCCGCGGCAGCGGCCCCTGGGGTCCGGCACTCCCTAGGAGTCCAGTCGGGGGCACTCGGGGGACTCAGCACTTGACAGGTTCGGGCTGGGCACGGCCGAGCCCCGGGCACATCCCACTCTGCAGGTTGTGTCTCCCCAGCCCGGTCAGATCCACCCCAGGCTGCTGCCCTTACAGGTTTCCAGCAGCCTCGGGGAACAGGAGCAGTCAGGGACCCCCCCTCACCTCTGTCCCTCCTGCCAGGCAGAACAGCAGCAGCACCGAGCACCATGGGGGCACAGTTAATGAGGGCCTTTCAGTTCAATCATCCACGTTTGGCACAGTCTGAGAGCTTTCATGCCAGGGGTCCAGTTCCTGGTGTGCCTTGTTCCCCCAGCCCTGCCCGTACCCCCCACCACTCCCAACTGCCCACCTCAGCTGCCCCTTGGACAGCTCTCCTGCTCTGTTTGGATAGAAGCAGCCATGCCACCGGGCTTCTGGCCACTGATGTCACTTACACCTCCCCTGTGAGACCACGGCCTTGGATCCTTAACCAGGTAACAGTCCCTCACTTGAGGGAGCAGTAAAGGTCTCTGTGTGGACTGACTGATCAAGGGGTGGGCTAAGGACACTCCCAGAATCAGCACATCTCTGCTCTCCTGGGTCTTGGGAACAGCCAGTCTTGCCTCAAAACAATGAACAAAAGGGGGAAAAAGGCTTTACAAACTGCCACTTGTGCAGCCAGCGTTCCCAGCTCTCTCGCATGTCCTTAAAGGACATCAAAGATCTCCTTGCCTCTGTCAAAAGCATCTTTGGAGAGCTGTGGAGCCCCTGGGAGCAGGCAGCGTGTGGGGCTGGGCAATTCCTGCCCACCCCAGAGTGGTACCAGCGCTGCTGTGGCACTGGCACTGCTGTGGCACCCCACCAGAGATTGGCTGTGCTGCCCCGAGTAGGCCAAGGTCAGTCCAGCTGCCTGGGCTTCTCTGAGGGGAGAGCATCAAAATCACACCAGAGCAGCCAAGAGCCAAGAGTAGCATGGTCACGCTGCTTCAGGGGCTCACGGGTCTTTAGCAAACAAAACTCACCACATCACGGCTGTACAGAAGAGAGCAGATGCCAGACAGTCCTGAAAAAAACAAAACCCAATGTTTTTCTACCTTCCACCCAGGCAGAGGCTGGAAAGGGGGTGAACACGGACCCTAGACACCAGAGAAGAAAAGGGATGGACACAGGCAGAGCTGTATGCTGGTTTTAATGTTCCTAAGAACTAGGAAACAGAAATCAAAAATAGACTTTGCTCTTCTTGATAAAAGTAATAAAATGGTTAGCGGTGTTAAATTAATCCTTACAAAACAAAACCCAAGGAGGTTAAATAAAGCCCAGAGGCTTCGCATAAAAACCACAACGACTACAAAACAGCTGCAAAGACATCTTTACACACCAAAGAAACTCCTCTCCTCTGCTCCTTCCCTCTCCAGGACACAGTGTCGGCAAACACGGGACTCACACATGGGAAAAGAACACGGATGCGATGGGAGCAGCCCCGCCAGGAGCGTGGGCGCCACGGACAGAACTATTTACACTATGGACACGGAGC